TAACAAACCTCAGCATCTATCTATAGTTTAGATCACGAATTGAAACTTCCGGTTTCTATACAAAATATTGTTTGTAAACTATTGTACTGTATATTTCGTCTTTTGTGTAGCAGTGTCGAATGTCCGGATAAAGATCATTACATCTACGGTCAGCGTTGGTTTTCAAATATCAATAGGCTAATTGGCTTTCTCATTCATTACGTCCTGTCCTAACACATTGCCAAACTGAAAGAGCTGCATTCAGGGACCTTAATAATTTTTAAGTTCGGTTTAAGCTGAAACTGTTATTTTCTTTGCTATAGCAATAGAATAAGTACGTCAAGATAGTTGAGTACGGCTCGTACCCAACTAATCTTGATACCTATTTTTTCAAAAAATCTCTAGCCTTGTAGGAATTCTTATTTTTAACAATTAATTTTCCTTATATCCAAATCTATTCAAACACTAAGAAGTTATTATGGAATAAAGAAACGCACGTACCGACAAACTTACCTACCCATAAAATCTAAATCCCTTTTTACCCGACTGCGCAATGCAAGAGCGCGAAGCGCAGACAGGGTATAGTGTTTAACAGTCTATGTAGGTTCCTTTGTGGCACACTAGAGACCAAACGCGTGGTCCGATTTTAATGATTCATACACCAATCGATTCGTCTTAATGATGAGAGTGCTACTAAAGATGCGATAGTAATTAAAAATGGAATCAATTAGGCGCCATATTGTGACGAAGTAAAAAAAATAAGTTGACGAAATATATCGAGTGGGTATCATTGCCTAGATAATCAAAAATCATATTTAGGTTCCTTACACCATTTTTTATTTCCCCTGACTGTTTAGGATCTACAACGATTTAAAGTTGCATATCAACTACTTGTGCTATTTATTTCAATCTAACGTTTGTATGGATTTTTGTCAGTCTTTCACTCAAAAAGTACTGAATGGATAATAATGAAACTTAACAATAATATAGCTCATACGTAATAATAACATATAGTTAAGAATTTATGTAGTTATTGAGTGAATTGGCCAAAATATAATAATAAGTGCCACGTAAAACGGCAAAAATATTCCATCTGCGAGCCATTTTGGCTTGCACTGCAAAAACAATAAAAGTTACATGAATATAATGTAAAGTGTAAATGTATCTCTTTAATAGTTCTTCAAAAAAGTCCGCGACAGCGTATATCTATTTTTAATGTGTAAGCCTTTATCGCTAAAATAGCGAATCAAAAATAAAATATAAGTTGATATCCATTTTCAAAATGCACATTTTGTATTAATAAATTATTTTTTATCAAAACAAATACTTTTATTGCTTTTGATATATACGATAAACTGTGCCCTTTACACTATGTCATTTGACAAATATTTAAATAGTTACAAGATAACAAAATGAGAGCGCGGCGATGCAGGAGTACACTGCGGGAATAGTCGAAAAGAATTTTTTATGAATTTAGGTGATTATAATCGTAGATAGAACCTAGGAGGAAAAGAAAAAAAAATGGCTGCTCTCGTTATCTAATCCTATACGAAGAACTTACAATAAAACTGTGATACAGTTCGTTCTTATTTAATGATGAAAATAAATTATCATAATAGGTATTTATGATTATTGAAATTATATCATGGTTAACATAATAACAACATTCAAGTATGCGTCGTAAGATTACACGTTGTTACAGAATGCGTTGAAGAAATAAAGGTTCACTGCTCGTTCCCCGTAGGTGGTATAGCGTGATAATATGTAGCCTATATGTTGGCCCGACTTTTTAATAATATTCGTGCCTAATTTGAAGTAAATCCATGCAGTACTTTTTGAGTTTATCCCGGACATACATATATACAAACAGACAAAAAAATCTAAAAACTATATTTTTGGCTTCGATATCCATTGTAGATCACACCCCAAGAATTCTTTTAAAAAAATAATGAATGTACAGTTTTGACTTTCCTACCATTTTATTATACGAGTATATATAGATGATTAACAACATTTGAAGTTAACTTTTAATACGACTCAAAAATTAATTACTTATAAAATACAAACTAGTAATAATGAGTCGGCGGCCCAGGTCCCACACAAATTGCTTGGCCTCTGCGCTCCAACAACCCGCCGTTTCCACCGCCAAAGGCACAAAAATATATCCTTGCCCCAACGAGGAATACTTTAAGCGCTTCGCCGTTGCCTGATACTCAGCCGCCGCCCCAGCCTTGCGTGTCGTGCGGCCGATGTGGGTAGCGGCGAAAGTGCTGACACACGTCGTGACCCACACCAAACATCGTCCCTTCTCCCACGGTACCAATGTAAGACCGTCAGGCCGTTTTCCATCTATGCGGCTGAGACCAGGTGGTTCGAGGACGGAAGGAACGCCGGTCTACCTAAGACCTCTCAACACTGTCATTTAGAGCATGGTGACGTGGGTGTCTGCCCGTACATCGACGGCAGCTCAATGCGTGATGGCCGTCAGCCCGCACCATGGTACCGCAGATGTATACATGTAGTTGACATACATTGCAGCCCAAGCGGAGGGCGACCGCCACCCGTAAGGAGTCACCGTCAAGTAAAGTGCCCATATGAGGCGAAGGTAACGCGTGCAGCCACCCCCCCGGATTCAGGCTGTGACACCGCCAAAATTCTCGCCAGATCGACTCCCATGGCAGCACCAGTAAGCAGTTCAAGTGTCGCTTTACAATTAACGTCGTCCCATGAGCGCTGGAACTTGGGGTTCCTAGGCACGGCTGCACCCGGGACGAGAGCCAACCAGGCTGCCAAAGCATCGGCCGCAAAGGGTACGGTCACCTTGTCGCCATTCATAGACAGAATATTAGCGACAAGGCCCGAAACCCCATGGGCCGACGCCTAGAAAGCCGGCAGACTCACATCTCTAACAGAACGCACCCCAATACCCCCGTATCGGATTGGCAAAGATGCCTGTTTCCAGTGGTTGCCACTCAGGGAGACATTTAAAATTTTCTGAACCGCATTTTTTATGACAGCATCAAAAGAAGCAATATCATCACCGAACATCCAAACTGGAGCCGTCCGAAGGAGGTATGTTATTTTTGGGATGGCAAAACATTTCTGCAAGAGGACTAGAGCAACGTGAGGAGCAATGGCCTCTAGACGCTCGCTGGCCAGCAAGAGAACATCCTTACGAGTTTTCATGGCCTCCGGAACTGCAGATCGAAAAATAGGAGCACCAAGAAAATTAAAAGAATCTTTATTGAGCTCCTTGAGGCCCGGAAGCAAACAAGTGAAAGACGAGAAGGATTGAGATGACACCGAACTACATTAAAAGAACTCGCATTTTGTAAAATTTGCCTCTAGACCTAACTCCCCCAGTTAACCTTTGGCATCTACATATTTGGTTTCTATGAAGTATGTAGGTAAAACAAATTATGAGACTAGGATATGACACTGCATTTGTTTTTAACACAATCTTAAAGCCGGACGCTGACAATGCAGCCACTACCAATTTTAGATAGTCGACGAATAAAAGTATGTAAATGAATTTTATATTTACTACTAAAAAGAACATAAGCAAAGAAGATTTTTTGAATAAGTACTAGTTTAGTATAAAATATACATGCATTAGATGTGTAGGTAACGACTTGAGTTAACTTCACACATTTTTGCGAAAATTGAGGCCCACATTGTAGCCTTGACCCTATGGTAAGGTTGTCTGTATGTCATAATAAATCAATCGCTTAGACCCCTCACCGGAAAAATTTTCAGATTTTATTCGCAGTCATACAAAGCAGTCGGGTTTTTTGATTTTTTAAATTTGCTTTTTTTTATAGAATAAATAACTACTTTTAAAAATAAATTTGGACTGTTCTCTCTTCTATTTTCTGTAAATATTTTTATGTTTCGTATTAGGTATTGTTAAACTGAACAAAGATTAAGATTTGCAATGGTAAACAACACGCTAGTTGTAGCACGTGCAGGTTCAATGACCTGAGATAGAATCATTTATAAAATGGATGGATCCTGTAATTTTGTGGCTTCTAGGTGTGCCTCGAACTCGGATCGCCCGCTATGTTACCTACTACGTATATGAGTAATAACGTGGTCATGAACGACGAACGAAATATGAGTGTGACTAATAACACTGTAGGTACCCATTACAACGGTATTAAAATGCCCCCCACGGGCAATAATAGTCCGTTTCTGTCATCCCATTGGTAACCTAAACCTTTGTAATTATATGTTGGGGTTTTTAGTATCACAAAAGTTTAATTAATTATGTTTTCAAAACCAATAATATTAACTTCTTCCTTATATTTTAAAGCCTACCAAACATTTAATAAAACCACAGACAAATTAAACTTTTCGTAAACGCGTATGGTTCGCGATTTATTGTTGTTTTACATCATTCTTGACGTATCCGATCTTTTTGAGGCTCTGTCAAAATAACAATTCTAAAACGGCAAGCCACAACAAATTATAAAAATAATACATCGCCCTTCATATCCGTTTAATCTAATAATATTACTTAAATTTAACTACACTAATAAATAGAACGATAAATGTATGTGCAATGTTCAACCATCTGCAGTAATAATAATACTGTATATATTGCGCACTACGTACTTCTATATGTAAGAGCAATCAAAGAATAAGGATCTTATAGCCACGGATCTAAAAATAGAGCTATTAAATTAAATATATTTCTAGCTATAACAATCATACATGAGTTCGACTTCGATTTACTACAAATAAACTCAAGGATTAGTGCACAGTTTATTCGTTCGACCCAAATTGAACAGTGAATTTAGAATAAGAAATAAAAAGCTTTAGTCTGGTTTGATAGGGTTCAACGACTCGACGCTCGTTTCGCATTATTAGCTGTTTATGAGAGACATTGCGCTGTTACGGTCGACGCAGCAGTCCATAAAGACATGCAATACAAGTCCAACCCTAAGGTCGTCGGAGAACAAACAACGGACATAAATGTTGGAATGCGATAGTAGATATTAGTAGTATGAAGGTAGACTTACCTATATACATGCTAGATGACTCAGGGCGAACGTGGTCGTCGACGTATGTCGTGCCGAGAGTCAGGAGAGGTGATCCTCCACAGCCAAGGAGTAGTTGTGCCACAATGAACACCATCACTGGCAGGAACGTACTTGGAGAACTCTGTTTATAAAATGGTTCAATTAGAATTCTGATTATGCTGTAATGCAATTTGAGAGGTAGGACCACAGGGGATTTTATAAGAATTGGAAAGTCGGTTGTACGTGCATAGAACTATCACGATGACGACGCCTATGATACGAGAATAGAACATTGGAGCCAAATAACAATTCTGTTGCATTGTATTCTTGCAGTAACATAAGTTATTCCTTCCAGACCTTCACATTCTTTTTTGCAAAACACCAGCTTTATAGTAGGTTATTATAATTAATAAAGGTTTTTATTGAAATTGGATGTACGTAAAATTCTTTTGATAAGTTAATTTTTTTTATCCTACTTTTCCTCTTTTCTCATTTTAAGCAGCATGCTATAGCAGTAGGGAAAAACTCATAATAGATAATTATGCTTATTTTTTATAAAATAAAATAAAAACAAACCAAATTAAATTAAAAGAAATACGAAAACAATAAATAACTTTATGCAGAGTGATTGATTTACTTACTTTTATGCAATTGTCAGGCCTTAGATTGCTTGGCGGTAGACCTTGGGACAAACGGCCTAAACCGCCCATATCTTGCTCCAGAGCCCTGGGCACTAGTCGACAAATGTTGTCGTCCGTCTTATTGTTCATTAATGTTTCACTGTTTACTTCCGCTATGAAATGAGGTAGTACAAACACCAGTGATCCAATGCCCATAATAACAGCGCCTAAAATATAAAAATCAATATTAACGTTACAGATTCAGGACATTGTTCCGCTTCTATTTCTACCTAAATAATACTAATAATGTTTGAGAAAAATCTTTAATAATGTTTTGGACTCAAAGGTACTTACCGACTGCAATCCAAACTGGAATGTGTCTTCTACTGCCGAGATATGAGACAAAGATTACGGTGATGACATTTCCTATTTCATAGCTACTCGCAATCAGCCCTGAGAGGCTCGATGGGATCTCGAAGCGTTTTTCTATTGTTGTGATCACAGAATTGATATACCCCGAACTTAATGCTTGCTGTAGCGTGACAAGGAACGAAAGGAAAAATACAAATACCTGTAAAAAGATAGCAGTGTTAGGAAAGAATTAATAGACACGAACTATAAAATGAAATAAAATCAATACGTACTTTAATACTAGAAAAGCTCTGAATAAAAAGCGGTCTCCATGACAAGATACCGCAGTCTCGTGCGTCATGAGGAATGTCTAATATTTCTGGGTACAATTGACGGGGTTTCTCTTTTTCTCTCTCGCGATCTCTGAAATAAGGAATTATGAAATTATTACAGATGTGAAAATATGTTCTATCTCGGCATTTCAAAATCAAATGTTTACGCTCAAAGGTAATCATGGTTATTTAGTTGACTGACTTACCTGTCGCAAATGCCAGCTGACGGATTTCGGCTGTGGCATTTCCCGGGTTCCCGGGGTGGGTGTGAGGGGGGAGGCGGAGTGCTTGGACCAGCTGCGTCGTCCCCTCCAGCTTCCGCACAACCCGATTCCGCGTACAACCCCGTCATAGCATACATGGACTCTTGTCTCCTATCAAACAAATAACCACAAATATTCTTTTAATAAATATTTCGACTACATACTGTATTCACGGAAACTTGCTAGTACATACGAAAGCTAAGTTTTTATATCGCTGGTTGGATTGTAATACACTCGGCGTCAAAAAAATCGCATCTCCGCGAAAATAACTTTAAAGCCTTATAAACCCTTAACACGCGCATGTACTCCCACCATTATTGGTGACATTTGAAAACCTATTAAACAAACATAAAAAAAAACCCATTTCATTTCATTTAAAAAAAGCTTGATACCAAATGTGTGACTTTACAAAAATGCCTATATTGCTCCTCCAAAGGACCACTAGTTGGGTACCTTTAGTGGGTATAAAGGTTCAATGGAGATTACCCGAAAACACAGATCCAAGCGCCCGACCTGGACTTGATCTTCTCGAACGATATTCCTGCTCTGTTAGCGGGCGATCTTAATTGTAAGCACAGCTCGTAGGGATCAGCCACTACCAACCCGGAAGGCCGCAACCTAAACAATTTGGCAGAGGGTCGCAACATGGCGTTGAGGACAATAACAAGGGCGCAACGCTACGTCCTCAACGAAGTAATCACACGTGACTTAAAAATCGAGAGCATAGAGGACTTCGTGGCTTGCCTATCACGGGCGATGATCAAGCGTGCCGACCAAAGGCCCCACACCCAACTCTGCTTGCCCCACAGATTCCTCCCGACGAAAACAAGCACCGCGACCAACACCTCGCAGCCTGCTCTTGCCATCTCCCAGTTCCGACCCCACCCCAACCCCAACAATGAACTCTGTTCCCCAGTTGCGAAAACTGCGGCCTACTCGCTGGCGCTAGCTGAGCTCCCCTCAGGAGGTCTCACTCGGCTTGGCAGACCGCGGTGAGGGCCGCGTCGCAAGGTTTCAGGCGAGAGCTGAAGCTCAAGATCGTCGCCAGACGACCGCTGAAATAGCGGCGCCCAACCCCGCAGGGCCGCTCCCATGTGAGAAGCAGCCCGGGGAAAGAAAAATTTCTTTTTCGCATCCGTACCTATCCAAGATAGAAGATTCCCGAGCGCAACGGGGGATATTCGCTATCCGACCGTTGAAGAGGACACACGAGAAGATCTTTCACAAAAAAAAACACCTTGAATATGGATACCACTGCTGATAAAGCCGCTCAAGTGATTGCACTACTGCAATCAGGGATGCGGCAGTGTGATGTCGCTCGGCAACTGAACTTGAGCCGTTTTTCGGTTTGAAGAGTATATCAGGTGGCCATGTCCGAAGGCATGGATCTGGTAGACTTCGCTGCACCTCGGAGAGAGACGACCGATTAATCGTATCGACATCTCTAAGAAATCGGTTCTCTAATGCTGTTGAGTTGCAACAGCAGCTCCAGGAAGCTCGCAGAACAACCGTGAGCGTTTCTAAGGTTAGACGAAGACTAAGGCAAAAGAAGATAGCGCCTTATAGAACTGCTACGGGTCCAAAATTTACCGCAGAGCATCGGCGAGCCCGGTTGCAGTTTGCTCGCAATCATGCCAATTTGATCCATGACCAATGGAGAGCTGTTCTCTTCTCAGACGAGACGAGAGTGTGCTTTTCTACAACGATAGACGCAGAAGAGTGTATAGAAGATAGGGGGAACGTTTCGCCCAAGCCTCCATCAAGGAGACGGTGAAATACGGGGGCGGTTCCTGTATGTTTTGAGGCAGCATGCCGGCCGACGGCAAAACCGGCCTTGTAAGCCTCTCCCGGTTTTTTGCACTGTTCCAATAAAAAAAAAAATAACTGTTTTTTTAAATTTATTAAATAGGCTTTCAAATGACACTAATATTGGTGGGGGTTAATGCGCGTGTTAAGGGCTATAATAACGCTAGAAAGTTATTTTCGCGGAGGTGCGATTTTTTTGACGCCGAATGTAGGTTTGGGAAAAAGTATTTTCGCATAATACAAGATAGTAATTCCAAATTCCAATTAGAAAATGTGTGATTTTTAATTGCTTTTTTTTACTGTCAAGATGAGTGAATCTAATGAAGAAATTAGATACATTTTAAAATGTTACTACAAAAAAGGTAAAAATGCAACGCAAGCCGCGAAAAAAATTTGTGATATTTATGGACCTAGTGCAGTGTCTGTGAGAGTAGCACAAATTTGGTTCAAGCGTTTTCAATTTTGATGTCAAAGATGCACGTCGCTCTGGTCGTCCTGTTACAGATAAAATGGGGTGCCATTTTTTAAAAAGTGGAGCCAGAGGGGCATTTCAGTAGTTACGACGTAGCTGCAGAACTGGGAATTGACCACTGCCATAATAATGACACACATAGTCCATTTTACAACGTTATTAGGATCGCTCATGATGTTCATGATTCGAAGAAACTCAACACGGAACTTGTTTATGAGACAAATTTCAATTTTGTTCTGTCTGTACAGTGTAACTGTAAGGTAATTTAAAAACTAATAATGCTAAGTATGATGGGGTGAAAGTGTACAGGAAAACGTGGGAAACAATGCGCTTTGTATCAAAACAAACGTACCTGTAGCATCGTGTAAACACACATTAAAGTGTCTCAATCGATTTTAATTAGTAATCGAATTTCACCTAAGAAAATAACGATTAAGTAGGTACTTAATTGAAGGTGTGTTTTAATACATTTGCAGGCGATTACAATACCTTCGGATAATCTTGCTAAGTTCTGCAGATCTTTCGAGGACCTAATAGCACGATATTTCACTGACGATCGATATATAAATGATCCCGTCCCTATATGATATTTAAAAATCAAGTTACATTCATGACGTCACCGGATATGGAATAAAATCAACTAACAAAGTGTCCTCACTATTGCTTTATCCTAAGAAACTAGATACGACACTGGTTAAAAATATTGTATGAGTAAACCGCGATTAGGCTAAATGTGGGGCTATGTGTCGCAAACGCCATTATCATAGTCATTATCTTATTTCAGACACTTGACAAAACTTATCAGTACTCCGAATATCTTACATGGTGATTTCAGGTGTAACAGTTCCTTAACCAAAATTACTAGAAAACATCAAAAGTACTTATTCCGGCATAGATAAAAAAATACAATAAGACGAGCTTTCCCTAAAAATAGTGAACAAAAGCTATTAAATTTATAGGACTTCCGTTTGAATGTTTCTTTAAACAATTATTTATTGATAAAAAATCCACCACCCACTTTAAAAATTTTCAGAGGATGTTCTGTTCATGCAAACAATTAACCATAACCGCAACACAAAAAATGTGAAATAAAGTAGCCACAGATGTTTAAATATATTATTTCGGACGGTCACCTAACGACATTCGAAATCTAAATATCGTTAAATGACCTTTATTATCGTTGACCTCACTGCACTGCGTCGCGAGAAACAATGGAGTAATCGGTACCAACCAAATATGCAATTTAGTATGTCGTAATTTCAATTAATCTACTACTTTTAAAATGGAACGCTACGATTACAAGACAAAGGCTATTTTACTTAACAAGCAATGTGTAGTCAATTATTATAGGGGTCACACGAACGTAAGCTAGGAATTGGCGACAATAATGTTTCAAGTAAATACTATCCACAGAATAATAGAAAAGTAAAATTTATCTAAACAAATAAATTTGAACGCCAGATGCCGATCAAGTAGAAGCTCCAAACATCCTAATCGTAAAGATCTCATAAAACAGTTATCATAGTTACCTACCTGCAATCAACTTCATGCATGTCAAGCTTTTAATACAAATTTACAGTAGAACCTATGACAAATATTCTATTTTATAAAATACATTAAATTTGTAGATACACAAAATATATAATATCGTAAAGAAGAAAGAATTGTATGATTGTAATGAATAAACCTAAAAAATGGATCGATAGTAACTGTAAAATTTTAACCATTAGAAAGCTATACATATTTATCGCATTAAAATAAATTTCATCCGTGCTAAACCAAGGAGGATCATTAGTATAATTATATTGTGGAATTGTGGTTTATCTACTGTATTTATTAATAAAGCATTTTTTAAAGAGATTTCACTCGTAATACAGACAGTCGAACAAAGACGAATCGTAGAAGTAAGTCTGTCAGTCACTTTAAGCCTTAAAGTTTAAGGTTACAATCGTTAGAGCTCAGAAAACTTTGTAACTATCGAGAAACATCTTCGATTAACTTTTACTCATGAGAACTTAGATATAGCGCATACGATACAGCAAAGCAATTATTACCTTCATGCATGACACAACGTAACGGTTGATATTTCATAATTACGAGACAGATCAATGTCAGGAATTGATTATACCTTTATCCAGGAATTGCATTAATAAATCTATGAACTAAGGCAAAAATCAAATCAGCAGTTTACTGTTTATGATACATTAATTCAATTAAGATGAATCTAAGACATCAAGCAATTAACATTTGTTTATTAACTGGGTCAGCATATAATCATTTCACGAGTGGTGCACGCCCATAAATAAAAACGCTTGTTCGCTTTATTAGCCACGAACATGAAATATTATTATTGAATTACCAATTATAACCATTAAATAGCACTATGAACTTATTTTCGTAGATAGTTATACGATCTTTTCCCCTAATTTAATGTATAAAAATATAATTTATGGCAAGTGATTAGTGAAGTTTCGTTTCAGAACTAGGCTATCAACGATGAATTGGCTATGAGAAATAATATTCTACAATTCTATAATGCGATTCAACTAAGAATAGGACCGACTGGGCGCCATATTTTGACGTCATAGCTGTCAATTCAAACCAAATAGGTAGAGTGAGCAAAAATAAGTTTCTATTTAATAAAACTTATTTACTTAGATTTATTAAAAAAAAATCGGATTTTTTAATAAAATTAATTTACTAAGATTGAGAGAAAAAACAACCGATTTTTAATAATATTTCTTTATTAAGACTGTGTGAGAAAAAACATTAATCAGAATCTAGCTCTTCATTTCCGCTCATCTCTGAATTACCGCCGGAGTAGTTATGAATAATCATGCAGGTCACATACGAACATGCATCCTATATGTAAACGAAAGTTTTAAATCGAGTTTCTGAACGCAACATAAAGTGACATTTGGTTGACGATTTAGGTTATCAACCGTTCATAGCCAAAGCTCAATAAATGAAAAAAAAATATCAACCAATATTAATTATCAATATTTGTTATTGTTTGTTTAAAAATGTTTGATTTTTATTCTAGAATTAGCTGAGTGCTAAAAAAGCGTTCCGAGATTTTTTTGGAAAGTGTACTTTTCAAGCGACATTTGACAGATGGAGGTCATTGGCTTTCCTATTCTTATTTGAATCGCATTATAAACCTAATAGTTCGAACCACGCCAGTTTTTAGCATGATTAAAGCGATGATGATGTTTCTGTATTGGTGAGTTAGCGTAAGATACATATAAAACTAACAAATCTTAAGAAGTAATTTGTCACTAACCGGTGTCCTTTTCTGTGCTGTGGGGCGGCATTGGTGCCACCGGCGCTTTGCTGTCTCTCTCCCTCCGTCATGACGATGAAGTTCACTGGGTCTCACCGCATGCCCATACCACAACACACGAAACTTCTCCACCTGAACAATACAAAAGTTGAACATGAGAACATTATTAAAATTCAGCCTAAATGAAGTATTTTAGAAGACTAGGTACCGAAAGGGTGTGAGCTAGATGAAGTCAAGCATACAGGACTTCAATGCGGTAGCCTATGGTTGTAGTGGTTGTTGCATTTTATCAATAACACGATACTAATTAACCTCTTGTCACAATCCACTTCTTCATAAAGATGCGCAATCAGCAAAAGGTGACAACGGAACCCCATTAGTAAGGATCTGCCATGTGTTAGTCATCGGACTGAAGCTTTCTTACACAAGGCGTGACATGAAGATAGTTGAAGTTTTAACATAGTGAATGTATATTTTTATTGCTCTCTTACCGGCACCAAAATTAACAACAATTACAAGGGGTTACCCAAACAAGAAACTGTTATTATTTCGAAGTTTTGATAGACCTATATAATGTTGGAACTTATTGGGGTTCCCTCTATCTGGCAGAATCTCGTTGCTACGAAATTCTTTTGGCATAACACACTTCGCATAATCTTCTTTAAATAAATATTTGTAAGGCATACTTTTTTATTAAGTATAACTTTATATTATTAATTGGCCGAATGCTTATATGCAGGGGCGGTCTTAGCTAAACTTTACGGTGGTGCGAGATCTTATGGTGGCGCCCCAGTTTACATAGACACGTAAAAAATAACATACCTAATTAATTTTACATTTATGTACTCTATTCCGTGTCAATTTTTTGATGAGAAGAAGAGAATAATGTATTAGTTTGACTATACATATTTATTTAATTAAAAGTCTTAGAAATTAGAAAATCACTTTTCTTGCCTTTGCCTATGCGATTTTTTTTATGAAATCGGAATAATTTAATTTTTGGGCAATGTGATTTTGTATTGATAGAATTGCAAGATCTGACAGTCTTTCTCGACACATTGTCGAAGGTAAGTACGTTTTATAATGCGATTCAACTAAGAATAGGTTCTACGGGGCGCCATATTTTGAAGTCATAGCTGTCAATTCAAACCAAAAAGGTAGAGTGGGCAAAAAAATTTTGCTATTTAATGAAACTTATTTACTAATATTAAGTGAGACAAAACATCAGATTTTTTAATAAAATTAATTTACTAAGGTTGAGAAAGAACACAACCGATTTTTAATAGTATTTCTTTATTAAGACAGTGTAAAAAAAACATTAAATCAGAATCTAGCTCTTCAATTTCGCTCAACTCTGCATTACCGCCGGAGAAGTTATGAATAATCATGCAGGTCACATACGAACATGCATCCTATATGTAAACGAAAGTTTTAAATCGAGTTTTTGAACGCAACATAAAGTGACATTTGGTTGACGATTAAGGTTATCAACCGTTCATAGCCAAAGCTAAATAAATGAAAAATAACAACTAATATTAATTATCAACATTTGTTATTGTTTATTTAAAAATGTTTGGTTTTTATTCTAGAATCAGCGGAATGCTAAAAAAGTGTTCCGAGCAAACCGTGCTTTTCAAGCGACATTTGACAGATGGAGGTCATTGGCTTTCTTAATCTTATTTGAATCGCATTATAATAAGTTTTAATTTCAGGTCAGTAAAATCCGAAGCACTGTCCACACATTCGGGAAAATATCCTGCCATTTTTTCAATATGTTGAAGGACTTTTATTGGCTCTGCTGATTTAAGGTTTTTTAACAATGGATTCAGGCTCAAAAGTTCTTCAACCAATTCACAACTAGACACATTACATTTTTCCCTATCGGTTAAAATCATTTGCAAATCTGCACAGGCTTTTTCTAATAAAGACGAATTAACGATTAACATTTCTTAATGAAGCCCCATCTCGTGCCACTATTTACAATTGGTTTAACGAGTTTAAGCGTGGACGTAGCAATCTCAATGATGATCCGCGTGAGGGACGTCCTTTAACAGCAACTACTGAAAATAACATCAGTACTGTGCGTCGCATGATAGAGGAAGATAAGAGAGTGACCTATCAGCAGATACTGGCAAGCCTAGGCATTGGTGTGAGTCAAGTTCAAAAAATATTACACGAACATTTACGCGTCAGGAAGCTTTGTACCAGATGGATACCCCATACTTTAACCGACGACCAGAAACACCTTCGCATGGACTGGTGTCGCCAAATGTTAGATAAGTTCAACGGCGGTGACTCAAATGCTGTATTTGACATCGTCACAGGCGATGAAAGCTGGATATATTGCTACGAACCCGAAACCAAAAGATAATCAGCTCAGTGGGTGATTTCATTCGAGGATCGGCCAACTAAGGTAAAGAAAGGAAGGAGTAAAGGAAAAAAATAATTGCCTAAGTCTTTGGTCTGTAAGGTCATTTCGCGACAGTTGTGCTAGAAGATAGAAGGACAGTTACTGCAGACTGTTATGTGAATCGCTGTTTGCCCGTTGTCTTGGAAAAAATTCGACAGCAGCGCCCTCGAAGCAGGATCCTCCTTCACCACGACAATGCTTCAGCGCACTCCGCAAAACGGACTGTTGAATATTTGACTATGGCAGGTGTCGAGATAATGAGTCATCCGCCATACAGTCCTGACTAGGCGCCCTGCGATTTTCATTTATTCCCAAGAACTAAAGGTAAAATTCGAGGTATTCGCTTTACAAGCCCTGAAGATGTGGTGAAAGCGTACGAAAATGCCATAGAAGAGACCCCTATGGAAAAATGGGCCTGCTTTTCTCAGTGGTTCCATCGAATGCGAAGATGTGTAGAGAGGAACGGAGATTACTTCGAAAAAAAATAAAAGTATTGGCAACTTTCTACAGTAAGCCGTTTTTCATTTTCTAATAATTTTCAGTGTTACCTAGGTATCATTGAATTTGGATAATTGTCCAAACCGAGTGACCAATGCATTTTCAGTTGTGTCTATCATAGGGTAAAAGACGTTAATTTTAAACTGTTCTTCGGGATCTGTTGGTGTTTCATCTGCAGCTTCAAACTCAAATAATCGCTTCTTTCTCCGGGATCGGACTGGCTTAAACGCCGGATCTATGCCTGCCTCAGAAGCTATTTCTTTAGCTGTTATTTGAGCATACGAATAAGTCCGGTATTGCTTCACAAATTCCGAGCAGTTTTTCAGCAATTGCGATGCGTTTGATAAATCCATAGTTTCAGACTGCATCAGTGGCGGATTTACCAGTAGGCTCAGTAAGCTGGAGCCTAGGGCGGCAGATTTAAGGGGGCGGCAAATTTGGCCCAAAATCTACACAGAAAAACGAGTGACAAAATTTTTAATATTTTAGTAATGCACAGTATACTCAACACTCTTACGTCCGTAATCCGTATAAAAAAGATTACTAAACGCACTGTAAAATATAGGTATGTACTTATGCGATCATGAATTTTTAAAATATTCCATTAGCGTTTCAATATTAATAACAATTTAAATTTAGTAATTTTTTAAACTTACGGGGAAAAGCCGACGTAATGTGTACGATAGAACACAAATCATAAAGTTGCAATTTCAGAATAAATATAATTGTGAACTAGCGTATTGAATTTCAAAGGTCAGTAAGGGAGGCAAAAATTTAATAGCCTATTAGCGGCAAATTTGTAAATCCGCCACTGGACTGCATAGCTTTACTTACAATGTTTACTTGAAACAGTATATCATAACCAAGTCACCAATGTAACTAAGAATTCAAATTGCTCCATATTCTGAATCAGTGACAAAGCCTCTGATGCAGCAACTGAATCATTCGTTTCTTCGTAAAGATTCAAAAGAGCATCACGAACTGAACAGTAATTGTAGCGAACAGAAGCAAGGCTAGAAACTCTACTCTCCCAACGAGTTTCGCAAACTTTTTTCAGTGATAGTCCTTCTATGTGTTTGGATATGACTTCCCACCTCATTGTAGATCCAGAAAATAATACAAATAGTCTTTGGAGAAATCCAAATAAAGAGACCGATTTACCGGGTGATTTAGCTGCATCTGCTACCACCAAATTCAAGCTGTGACAGCCACATGGATTAAAAATTGCTCGAGGATATTGGTTCGTAATTCTGGTTTGGACACCTTTGTTTAATCCTACCATGTTGGCGCCATTATCGTACCCTTGACCTCGACAATCGTTCATATCCAAGTCAACTTCATGTACAATTTCATCAAGAAAAAGGCCAGTGTGCCCTTCTGAAGAATCACTTACCGGCTTGTAAGTAACGAAACACTCTCGTACTTTCACTTCTTCTCCATTAGTGTCAACAAACGGAAAGTTATTGATTGATAATTGTTCATCAGGAGTGCAGTCCAGTATGATAGAGAAGTATTTGGATGACTTAATCATAGTCAAAATTGTATTTCGAACTTTATTTCCAAATAAGCAAATTAACCCGTTCCCCTCACCGCCTCCCCGTTCGTCGCTCGTCACTACTCGCCGGGCAACAATACGATTTGCTTGCGCGTAAGTCGATCGGTACCTAGTCGGACTTTCGGATGTTTTCGGCGCCCCCCATATGACGGCGCCCGGTGCTGTCGCACCGCTCGCACCGCCCTAGCCCCTGCTTATATGTCTAAATTCACAAAAGCATACATTCTGACTGCGAACTCACAGCTCCAAGGTACAGTAGACCTGAGTATTTGATATAAAGGTCAATGGGCAACTGAGAATGGAACAAATACCCACGACCTACAGAAAATGTAGACTAGGATATTTAGATAAATATCTCTAGTTAATGAATATGTATGTCGCATTATTGTAAATAACGGGATGCAGGCCAAACACTAATAAATAGAATGTAATATTACTAAAAATTAAGGATTATTATAATAAAGTTTATATAAAATAAGTAAAAATAAAACAAGTAATAAGAAGTTTTTAATTTTCATTCTCCATGATCAATGTCTATAGGCATAATTGTATCGTCTAAAAACTCGGTAGGCGCATTTATTTGATCTTGATCTCTGGCCCAAGACAAAAAAATACAATGCTGGCTATATGCGCGCAGCGTCCAATGGTGCGGCAGGCATGGATACAAGA